GTATCGATATAGATACAGTCGACGTATCGTAACTACCCCCTACTCCAGCTGGGCGGTATCGGCGTCAGCGTCAGCGTCGGCGTCGGCGTCGGCGCCGCCGTCGATGTTGGGAGCGACGGCGTCGGCGCTGGGCGTACGGCGCTCCGGAGGCGTCGGCCGTTTGACTGCGTTATCAGTAGTGGTGCCGTCGTCCGCGTGAGCAGGTGAAGGCCTTCGTCCCGATAACTGCTCGACGACCTGGTAAGCCTTGTTTTGACTGGATCCCCTCCCTTTTTTTTTTTCGAGTCCTGCATCGACCGGGCGGACGGACGGCGCGAGATCCGCACCGCGATTTTTCCATCCCTCCTCCGGGCATCCCCCGCGGGTGGCGGCAGCCTCTCGTTGATGGTCGATTGTGGCTGATAAAGCGTAGAATAGAATTTTCACCGAGATTCAAATAGAATTAGCTCGTGGGAGGAGAAAGAAGAAGGGAAGAGGAAGAATGGATTTTGGGAGGAAGGAAACATGACGTCTTATGTTTAATAAATTCGTATTTTGGGAATGCGAGTCACGTTTCCCGGTTCGACGGAACGTTTTGCCGATAACCGACTCCGATTTATCGGCTGGAATATATCCGAGTAATCCTCTCGTTACGATCTCGATTAATAGATGCGAATTAATTCGGCGAAAGATGGAGGCGATGATAATTACATAGCTACTCCGTACATATGGAATGGTCCAAACAATAACAATTTGACAAATTATCTATGGACCATCAAATTTATTCATGTCTTTTTTTTATACACATGTTCCCTTTTCAAATTTCTTCTTTTTTCTTTACTTGTTGACTGACAAGTGCTAATTATAGAGTTACTTTTCCTAAAAAAAAAAAAAAAAAAAAAACTAGATTGCAAATCGGTGGCATTTGCCGAGAAAATTCTATACCACACGGTTCAGGTGTCAAATGTAAAACTTTGTAAACAAATACACGGATGCACGAGCGTTGGCGGAAGGTTAATTGGTTAGCTCCGGATAGGACTATGTTTAGCAAGAATCCTCTAGGAGATGGTATTCTTCTATTTTTATCGCGTTATCGTCGCCTCTCTCTCGCGTCGCGGATATTCTCTCTATTTTCGTAATAGCGATATCAATCTCCACGGTCATTTTCGGTTCAACTGCTACCCCCCTGTACACTCCGCTTCATTATTACGGAGAGAAAGAGAGAAAGGAAGGGATTATCGAAATCCTTTTTCGATATCATCTCGCAATCAATGTTTCACGGACTCGTGTAATTTATCCGTAATAAACCTGGACCTGTCTCCCGCCAAAGCTGATTCGCACGGTTGACCTAACGACGACGCGATAATTGCACTCGACACTCGGGCGGCGTGAAGCGTGTTTGCCGTGTCCGTCGAGCGCCCAGAACGGCAAATATTTGCGAACGTACATTTGCGTACATCTCATATCCTCCTCCCCTTCAACCCTCCCCCCTCTTCTGTCTCCTGAGAGATCCGCGAAAATTACATCCAGAGAAACGCGACTAGATTTCGTCGATGCGATCTCGTGAACTCTACGAATTAAACATCTCACCCTCTATAGATCATGACGTAAATATTCAAAGATCCTTCGCGTCCGGTGGACGTCGAGTGGAAATCCATATCGCAGCGTGCGATCTCTCTCTCTCTC